TCCTGACCCTAGTCGGGCCGGCATCTGGCAGATGAAATCCAAGTGCCCCCTGCAGGCTGGCCTGGCTACTGCCCCCGCCCCTGCCCCATCCTTACAAGAGGGCAAATTTTGTCTAACTCCATCTTGTCAGAATCGGAGTGCCTCAAAGCAAAGAGGGACTTCCTTCCTCATCTTATTTCCTTATCTGGGAGCCTCTGGGAGGAAGTACAGCTTCGGGCGTTTCCCAAAGTGTGACATGGTCCCAACTGGCAGAACATGACATGATTTTCAGGATGTTTCATTTATCTAGTTATACTGTATATAACTAGCATAGCAAACTCATGATTTCATTGATATTATTGTTTAGAAAGAGCTCAAAGTTTACATCTGAAAAGAAGTGAGAACAATTTTTATTATTTTAAATTAAGAAAATATGATAAAAGTAAAAATCTGGGAGGCAGCTGAAGAATGTCAGCGTTGGGAAATTCTGGGGTCCAGGAAGTTTGCTGGTAGATGGATATGGATGTGAATCCTGCCTCTGCGACATCACCTATGTCATGGATGTCATTTCTTTCTTTCTTCCTTTTTTTTTTTTTTTGAGACAGAGTCTTGCTCTGTTGCCAAGCTGGATTGCAGTGGCACAATCTCAGCTCACTGCAACCTCCGTCTCCCAGGTTCAAGCGATTCCCCTGCCTCAGCCTCCCGAGTAGCTGGGACTACAGGCGCGCGCCACCACGCCCAGCTAATATTTTTGTATTTTAGTAGAGACGGAGTTTCACCATGACCAGGATGGTCTCGATCTCCTGACCTCATGATTCACCCACCTCAGCCTCCCAAAGTGCTGGGATTACAGGCATGACCTCGGCCTTCCAAAGTGCTGGGATTACAGGCGTGACCTCGGCCTCCCAAAGTGCTGGGATTACATGCGTGAGTCACTGTGCCCGGCCCGTCATGGATGTCATTTCTATCAGAGGGCTCCTTTGGAAAATTTGGATAACAGCCCATTATGAAAGTCACCAGAGTAGATGTATCTATCTTCCTGGCCATTTAGCTGGTGGCGCAGCCTAGACGCCCAATAAACAGTAGCTCTATTTCAGTGATCATTCATTCCTGGGTGTCTGACCTGTGCCCTGAGAGAATCAGCGGTTCCTTCCAGAGCCTCTTTTTCCTGGGATCCTTTTCCTTCTGCAGCTTTCCACCCCCCACCACGTGTCTGATAGCCTTGAAGGTTTCACAGGACTGTCATCTCCCCAACTTCCAATGGAGCCACTGCAATACATAGCTGCCCGCCTCTACCTTCCACCTCCCAGCTGGCCTCACCTGCTGGGGGCCTGGCTCCTCCCCTTCTGCCTAGTCCCCTCCAAGCTCATACCCAGACCTTTTTTGGACACTACCCACCTGCTCCTCGGTCATCAAGCACTCAGCTATGGGCACTTCCCTCCCCAGTCCCCTCCCACTGGTGACATGTCAGGCTTCTTCATGGTTGCTCTGTGACTCTGAATTCTGCTATTTGAATCCGTATGGGAATAAAGTTCCCTGGCTTTCATCCCTTTCAGGGAGGGGGCATTCCGAGAACTGAGATGCTGGGGTTTGAGACCAAAAATTGGCCCTCCTTTTCAGTTCCGAACTATTTCTGGGTAATTGGACAAGGGATCCCAGCCCCTTCCAGCTTTCAGACTGGAGTGAGAACAATTTAAGAGCTGGAAGCATTGGGAATGGGATTTAAGACCATTTCTAAGGGTATTTCCAGACACCGAATCTCCTTCTCTGGCTGGCTCGAAAAGGCCAACAGCATTTGGGGGCAAGTGGGTAAAACAGGTCTCTCTCTGGCTGAGCCCTGGGAATGATCAGAATCTATTTGTCCCTTGGCAAAGCAAATCACTAGACGTCACCCATTACTCTCTTTGACCACCTCCCCCTCCCCAGTGCGCTTTCCGACCATCCCAATTCAAGGCCAACGAACCTCACTAGACCCAGACACTTTTCATCTCAAGCCAGGAGCCGTGGAAGAAGCCCCAGGGACTGGGTGAATGACGAAGCCTCAGTTGGGAAACAACCATTTATTGAGAGGCCCTCCAAGGAGCCTAAACCTCACTGCAAGGCAGGAAACGCGAGGGGGCTCTGGCACCGCCCCCCTACCCCAACGCAGGAAAGACGACGAAATGAATCCCAACAAGACCAGCTCAAACTTGGCTTTGGAAGCACTTAAGCAGTTCTCTAGGTTCGTAAACAGTCTGCTACCCCAGCCAGGACCAGACGCTTGCTTGGAGGACGGAGCACAAGCAGAGAAGCAGAGTGACAGAGTGACAGGATGAGGGAGACAGAGGGACCCAGAAAGATCCTGTCCCCCATGCCAAGTGACACAGAAGAAAAAAACAATGCTGGAGGTGGGCCTGGGAAAAGCTCAGGGGGCAGTGTGGGTTTGGAAGAGGGGGCTGTGCTAAGGTGAAGAGGGGAAGGGCAGGAGAAAGATGGCGGGGGCTGGAGGGGGGAGGGGTGTGGTCACCAAGTGGCCAAGGTCCCTGCGCAGTGGAGGCAGAGAGACCCCATCGCATTCCCAAACTGGCAGAAACCTGGGTCGGGGTCAGGCAGAGGATCCCATGGGAGAAGTGAGTGAGGAAGTGGGGGGGGATTAGAATCTGGGGAGAGGGGCCAGGAAAGGAGAGGTAGGCTGGTGACAGGGCCCCGTGTGGGGCCCCAGCGGTCAGACGTGCCACGGTTGGCAGTGACAGCTGGGGGGGGCACGGTCTTTGCAGTGTGGGGCGGCCCTAGGGGAAGGGGACCCCTACGGGGGTACTCTGCGGGCCCGTGGGCCCCAGCCTTAGGCCGGGGCAAGGGGCGCTGGAGGGTAAGCAGAGAGGAATGGGGGGGCCTCGTGGGGGGAGGGGCCAGGCGGTGATGGACAAGGCCGGGGCTGGCAGCGCAGGGCCGGGATCGGGGTCACGGCCCGGGCACTCACCGCTCTCCTGCTCGCTGCCCTTCTTGGCGGCGGCGGCGTTGCCCATCGCGGCGGCGGCGGCCGGGGCCGGTCCCGGAGCTGCGGCGCGGCGGGTGCTGGCGGCGGCCGGCGGCCCCGGAGCGCGCTGGGCGGCGGCGGCGGCCCTCGGGCTGGCTGCGCTAGCTGCGGCGCCGCGACCCCCGCCCAGCCCCTGCTTCCCGCGTCTCTCCGCGCCCGCCCGCCCGGGAACCTCAGCCCAAGTCCGCTGCTGCTGTCCGTGACGCCCCCGCAGCCCGCCGCTCATTGGCCTAGGACGCATTGACTGACGGCTGCGCGCCGTCGTCCATTGGTCATCCCTCGGGAAGACCGCGCCGCTATAGGCTCTCAGCCTCGTGACGTACCCCGGGGACTCTCGGCCATTCACACACTCGCGAGGCCGCAGCTGGGCGGGCAGACGCGTCCGATTGGCCAAGAAACTGGAAAGGCCCCGGGGTCCGCCCCGCGAGGCCGCCGATTGGCTGAGGCGCGCTGTCCCGCAAGCCCCCAGTAGAACGCTCAGTGTCAATCCGGGGGTGAGAGGGCGGGGCGGAGGCGCAGTCTGCGGGCCCGGGCCGGCGGGGCGGAGCGGCGGAGGCTGGCGGGCAGCCGCACAGCGCTCGGAGGCTCAGGAGGCGGCCCCGGCGGGCGCCCGGGCGGCCCCGCGCGCGCCGCAGTCCCCCGCCCCCGTCCAGTGCGGCAGCGGCTGTCGGCCAGCCGGGGTTGGCGCCGCGGCCTGCCCGGCGCAGCCGCTGTCCACCTGCCAGTGGGGGAGGGGAGCGGCCGGCGCGCGGGTCAGAGGTCACCCGGCCGCCGCCGGCGTCATTCATAAGGCCTGGCGCTGGGCACCCGTGGTGACCAGGCCTGCTTGGGGGCCAGGCCGCGGGGGCTCCTGGGTTTTCCCAGCCGCAGGCAGGAGGATGCTGGCCCCGGCGCAAAGGGTGGCTGAGAGGGGGCGCTCCGTGTCCAGCCCTTTGCTGGGCCCCAGCCCTGGGCTCCTGCCAGTAGTAAGAGCTGGCACCCACTTAACGCTCCTTCGCACCACACTCCCATCGCATAGGTGCTACCATCATCACTCCCATTGCATAGATGAAGAATCTGGGGTACAGCCAGGCAGATTCCCTGCTCCCATTCCCCGTCTGTATTTCCTGTCTGGGCAATGCAAAGGGAACCTGCCCCTTCCTTCGGGATTCTCTTTCAGTACACACCTAGCCAAGGACAGTCTGGGTTTCCCAACTGCGACACTACTGACGGCGGGGGTGGGGCTGGATCATTCTCTGCTGGGGGATGTCTTGTGCACCACTAGGTGTTAAACATCCCTGCCTCTACCCACTGGATGCTAGTAGCCCCTCCTATTCCTGCTGGCCGCCACCGTCTCCCGATGTTGGTGAATGTGCTCCTGCGGGTCAGAACTGCTCCTGATTGAGAGGCACTGACGAGGAGTGCTTTTTACATTATTTTTTAATACAAAAACATTTTAATATACAAACAACAATCACAACAGCATCCACATGGCAGCGAGGGGACCGGGGCACTGCCAGGGGACGGGACAAGGCAGGTCACCCGACTCGGGAGGGCTAGCTGGGCTCAAAACTCAAGCCCATCTAGACTTGAACAGCCCACACCTGCAGTCCCAGGTCAACCACAGTTCCAGGGAGGGTCAGGGCCTTTCTATGAATTACCGGGAAATGGCTGGCCACTCCGCCTCTGGATGGTTACATGGTAACGTTTAGCAAAATTTAACAAAAGCGTTGCTGTTTGCGTGTTAGGATCGTGATGTTTATTTCTTACTGTGGGTAAAGGGCAAAGTCTGAAAAATCACTGATTATAATCTATATGCAGGACAGCTGGTTTGCTTAAGTTTTGACAAAGAAAAACCCTTCCTGGAATGGAACCTGTCTGGAATACAACTGTAGAACCAATTAGGACTGGAGTGGGAAGCTGGGAAGAAGATATGGGACAGCCCACCCACTGGACAGGCAACAGGCCACCTCTGGGGGAGAGTGGACAGTTAGTTGCCTCAGCCCACCTGAGACAAAAGCACAAACATTCTAAACGAAGTGCTTTAAATTTTCAGACTGACCAAATATTTTTTAATATAAAAACATTTTAATAATATACAAACAGCAATCTCAACAGCATCCACATGGCAGAGAGGGGACCAGGGCAGAGAGGGGGAGCGGGCTGGGGTGGGACGATTTTCAGGGTCCCAGTTGCTTCCCTGGCTTCAAATCACCCTGGTCTTAGCAGAGGGCAATTAAGGCAGCTAGAGGCAGAGGGCTGACCCGGAGACAGACTGCACAGCCAGGGCCCTCTGATACCATCTTCCAACCATGGCAGCCTCCAGGGAAAGCCAGATCCCTTTAGGAGATAACAGGAAAGTGGCTGTGATTGACAGGAAAGGCAACATGGTTCCTTGGCATCCTGCTGATCATACCTCTGGGAATAGAGTTTTCCAGGGGCTGCTGGATTGAAGACCCAAGAATCTTCCTGGGAGCAGGATGGAAATGGGATCCAAGTCTACCTACTGACCAAGATTTCTTGCCTGTGGTACTAAAGGCTAGAGTGCCTCTGCTCAGATGTGTGGGAAGAGAAAGGAATGACAGAGACTTTGGCTCAGCAGGACCAGAAACTTGGCAGGCACTGACTGAGTAGGTAAGTCCCTACTCGGGCCAGGGAGGTCTGTGGAAAAGCTCTGGGTCTGTGGCACTCAAGGGCGCACAGTGGCGCAGTGGCCTCAGGTAGAATTGATGATGTGTATGGAAGACGAAAAGAACACAAATCAGAAAGAATTAAGAACTGAAGTACCTGCTTCTTATAAGCCTATACAGAAGTGAGATCGTCCTTTTCAGCCAGGACTGGGGAAGACCTGAGGCCTGTTCTTTCCTAGGGGCTAAGTTTGACAGGCCTGGATGCAGCTGATGGCCCCCAAAGTCCTCTAGATGGGCTCTGCAGGACTCGCTGGGAGGCCTGGGTGGCCCCTGCCGGTGTGGTGGGACACTCTCGGTTCCTGCAGTTAGATGCAGTCCATGGAGTTCTCAGGGAGGAGGCCAGGGATGCAGCAGCCAGGGAGGCCTAGGCCCTTGATAGGAGTGCAGCTGAGTGGGAGACCACAGCCCAGGGAGGGGTCCTGGTTCTCTATTGCCTCCAGCCTGTCCGTGTTGTTGTCCCAGTTGATATGGAAGCGGGTCACCCGGGGGTTTGAGGCCAAGATGTTCCGCTGGAGCTGGGGCAGGAAGAGGAATGTCAGTCCTTATTGGCATGCCCTCTCCTTGCTCCCGTAGAGCCAGGACACCCCCAGTCACTCATCTCAAGCCCAGCAAGAGCAGACCTACATGTGGAACTCCAGAAAACACATGAGCACCATGATTTAGGGCCAGGACCTATCTCTTTTTTTTTTTTTTTTTGTGATAAGAGTTTTGCTTTTGTTGTACAGGCTGGAGTGCAATGGTGCAATCTCGGCTCACTGCAACCTCTGCCTCCGGATTCAAGCCATACTCCTGCCTCAACCTCCTGTGTAGCTGGGACTACAGGTGCGTGGTGCCACACCCAGCTCATTTTTGTATTTTTAGTAGAGATGAAATTTCACCATGTTGGCCAGGCTGGTCTCAAACTCCTGACCTCAGGTGATCCACCCGCCTTGGCCTCCCAAAGTGCTGAGATTATAGGCGTGAGCCACTGTGCCTGGCCCAGGACCTATCTTTTTTTTTTTTTTTTTTAAAGGGACAGTTGCACTGTTGGCCAGGCTGGAATGTGCAGGCACGATCTGAGTTCACTGCAGCCTCAAACTCCTGGGCTCAAGTGATCCTCCCACCTCAGCCTCCAGAGTAGAGCACACTACCCACGTCTGGCTCATTTTTCTGTTGGGTAGAGACAGGGTCTCGCAATGTTGCCTGGGCTTGCCTATCTAATCTCTATTCTCTAAGACATGCCTTTTAGAAACAAAGAGCTCTTTCTCCTGCTCTAAGTACTGTAAGAACTGAACATTACTTGAAAACCTTATGAAGAGACCTTGACTCCCAATTTGCATGGCTGAACTCCTCCCAAGGATAAAGAACTGCCCCGTGGGAATCAGGAAGTGGAAAGAGACCCCACCTGAGAGAAGTCTGGCTTCATGGGCGGGTTCTCCCGCAGCTCGGGGTTGAGGTACTCATTGTTGACGTAGTACCCCACTCGGATGAACTCCTGTCCGTGGTAGGTGCAGGTGATGAGGACCACAGTCACACCCACAGCATCAGTCTCTGGGATGAGGGATGGGTTGGGGGCGTCAGCCTAGGGGAGACACATCCTAGGCCTTAGCAGTGCCATAGCCATGTCTCAACATCATTAGCACAAAGATCCCAAGCAACATGTATTTACTGAGCAAAAAGTACGCTCTCTGCCCTCAGCTTTTTTTCTGCCTCTGCCTCTCAGGTTCAAGCAATTCTGCCTCAGCCTCACAGGCAGCTGGGACTACAGGTGCATACCACCACACCTGGCTAATTTTTTGTTTTGTTTTTTTGAGACGGAGTTTTGCTCTGTCACCCAGGCTGGAGTGCAATGGCGCGCAATCTCGGCTCACTGCAAACACTGCCTCTGTGTTCAAGCAATTCTCCTGCCTCAGCCTCCCGAGTAGCTGGGATTACAGGCATGCACCACCAGCTCAGCCTTTTTTTTTTTTTTTTTGTATTTTTAGTAGAGATCGGACTTCAATGTGTTGGCCAGGCTGGTCTTAAATTCCTGACTTCAGGTGATCCACCCACCTCGGCCTCCCAAAGTGTTAGGATTACAGGTGTGAGCCACCACGCCTGGCCTTTTTTTTTTGACATAGGGTCTTCCTCTGTCACCCATGCTGGAGTGCAGTGGCGCCATCATGGCTCACTGCATCCTTGAACTCCTGGGCTCAAGCAATCCTCCTGCTTCAGCCTCCCAAGCAGCTGGCACCAAGGTGTTTAACAACTTGCCTAGCCAATTATTTTTTGTAGAGATGGGGTTTCTCCATGTTGCCCAGGCTGGTCTCGAACTCCTGGGCTCAGGCAATCCTCTCGCCTTGGCCTCCCAAAGGGCTGGGATTACAGGCGTGAGCCATGGTGCCCCGCCAGGAGTTATCAACTGATGGAAAGACAGAATCAACCCCACAAATGACTATAAAACGTTGACCGTGGCAGGGAGGGGCATGTGGAGGAGTTTGGTGAGCCAGGGAACAGTGGCATGAAGCTGAACAGGTGGGGCAGGTGGATATCAGGCCACTCAGGGGGCCAGATAAGGGATTGGGAAAGGGCAAGAGAGTTAGCAGGAGGTTAAGTGCCACATCATTCTTGTGGTCTGAAAAGAAGACTCTGGCAATGTGCGGAGGAGGCTGTAGCAGAAGCAGAAGGCTGACGCCAGTCATCCTGGAGAGGCAGTGGCCTTGGCCTAGACCAGGCAGTAAAGGAGATTCAGCGTGTGCTGCTGCAAACAAGACCAGCCACGTAATTGGTGGAAAATAAAACCAGTGCAAAATGAAAACACCAGGCCCCTCTGAAAAAGCTGTTAGGTGTCAGACGGTGACAGCAGAGAATCGCACCAAGTATGGGGTCCTGTGTGGCTGCCTGGGTTGCACACCCAGGAGGCTGGTCCTGATAGTTGAGTAGATAGACCCTGTCAGTGGATTTGACAGTGGTGGCTGAACGGCTTAGATGGGATGTAGTGGCTTAGATGGGATGTGGTAGCTTGTATTAGGGCAGTAACAGCAGTGATGGAGGTAAGGGAGTAAATCAGAGCAGAGGCTCCCAGAGAATCACCTGGAGAGCTCAGAACCTCCATTTCTGCTTTCTTTTTTCTTAAGAGATGGGGTCTCACTCTGTCATCCAGACTGGAGTGCATTGGCACAATCACAGATCACTACTGTAAACTCCTGGGCTCAAGTGAGCCTTTTTTTTTTTTCTTCTGAGATGGTCTCACTCTATTGCCCAGGCTGGAGTGCAGTGGCACAATCTCAGCTCACTGCAACCTCCGCCTCCCATTCGAGCAATTCTTATGCCTTAGCCTCCCGAGTAGCTGGGATTACAGATGTGTACCATCACACCCAGGTAACTTTTGTATTTTTTAGTAGAGACAGAGTTTTACCATGTTGGCCAGGCCGGTCTTGAACTCTTGACTCCAAGTGATCTGCCCGCCCCAGCCTCCCCAAAGTGTTGGAATTACAGGCATAAGCCGCTGCCCCAGCCGGTCTCAAGTGAGTCTTCTGCTTCAGTCTCCCTAGTAGCTGGTGCTACAGGCCTGCATCACTACAGCTAATTTTTTATAGGGAGGGGTCTCATTCTGTCACTGAGAATGCAGTGTAGAGGTACACTCATAGCTCACTGTAGCCTCAAACTCTCAGGCTCAAGCAAGCCTCCAGCTTCAGCCTCCCAAGTAGCTGGGACTACAGATGTGTGCCACTACACCTAGCTAATTTTTTTATTTTTTGTAGAGATGGGGCTGTCTCACTATGTGGCCCTGGGACTCCTGGCCTTATGCAATCCTCCTGCCTCTGCTTCCCAAAGTGCTGGAAGCCACATCTGGCCAGAATATACATTTGACAACCTAGGGGTGCTGCATGAGAGCCATTTAGGAGTTACAGTCCGTCCTCATTATTCACGGGTTCCATAAGTGCAAATTCGCCTACTTGCTAAATTCATTTGTAACCACACCTGTTCCCACCTGAGGTCAAACAAGGCAACACTGCCTTCCAGTCTCAGCTCTTATTGTGAACGAGTGTCCTTTCTTCAGTCTACTTAGTGCTAATTTTTTCCCATTGTGCCTTTTGTTGGTGAGTTTGCTGTCTACGACAGCACCCAACGGTAGTGCTGAAGTGCAGCACAGGGTGCAAGAAAGGCCTTAGGGAAAAAAATGTGTGTTAGAGAAGGCTTCAGGAAGGAGTTAGAGTGCTGCTGGCTGTGAATTGAACATAAATGAACCACAGTACATATTACTTAACGTGTCTTCTTTTTTCTTTTTGAGACAGAATCTCGCTGTGTCACCCAGGCTGGAGTGTAGTGGCGCAATCTCGGCTAACTGCAATCTCTGCCTCCTGGGTTTCAGCGATTCTCCCCCATCTGGAGGATTTGCTTCCTGAGTAGCTGGGATCACAGGTGTGCACCACCATGCCTGGCTAATTTTTGTATTTTTAGTAGAGACCAGGTTTCACCATGTTGGTCAGGCTGGTCTTCAATTCCTCACCTCAGGTGATCCACCCACCTTGGCCTCTAAAAGTGCTGGGATTACAGGCGTGAGCCACCGCGCCCAGACTGGTGTCTTTTCAACAGAAACACACATACAAGTTTAGGTATTGACTGGCTGACAAAACGCAGCTTCTAAGAATCTACCCCTGTATTTCCCGTGGGGCAATGGTTCAGTATTCACTAATTCAGTGTTTGTGGTAACTTTATAGAACATAGCTCTTGTGAATAACGAGAATTGACTGTAAATCAGTGGCAGCTTTGACACAGAGGTGGGGGAAAAAAGGGCCTGAAAGCCTCTGAGAGGTCAGATAGTTCCTGACAGTAGAACTAGGATTTAAACCTGAACTTTAAAATTTTTTTTTATTGATTGATTGAGACAGCGTCTCACTCTGTTACCCAGGCTGGAGTGCCGTGGTGTGGTCTTGGTTCATTGCAGCTTCTACCTCCCAGGCTCAAGTGATCCTCCTACCTCAGCCTCCTGAGTAGGTGAGACTACAGGCGTACACCACTGTGCTCTGCCGGTTTTTAAATTTTTTGTAGAGATGGGGGTCTCACGTTATTGCCCAGGCTGGTCTCAAACTCTTGGCCTCAAGCAATCGTCCTACCCTGGCCTCCCAAAGTGCTGCGGTTGTAGGTGTGAACCACTGCACCCAGCCTCTATTTATTTTAAAAAAAAATTTTTTTTTTTTTTTTTTTTTGAGACAAGGGTCTCTCCCTGTTCCCCAGGCTGGGGTGCAATGGCATGATCTCGGCTCACTGCAACCTTCACCTCCTGGGTTCAAGAGATTTTCCCATCTCAGCCTCCTGAGTAGCTGAGATTACAGGCAAATGCCACCACGCCCAGCTAATTTTTGTATTTTTAGTAGGGATAGGTTTCACCATGTTGGTTAGGCTGGTCTCAAACTCCTGACCTTGTAATCCACCCACCTAAGTCACCCAATGTGCTGGGATTACAGGCGTGAGCCACCATGCCCAGCTCTATTTATTTTCTTAATATTTGTTTTGTTCTTTTTTTAGAGACAGGGTCTCACTGTGTTGCCTTGGCTGGAGTACAGTGGCTCAATCATAGTTCACTGCAGCCTTGGACTCCTGGGCTCAAGTAGTCCTCTCACCTTGACCTCTGGAGGCCCTGCGCCCAGCTGAGTTTGAACTTTTGATTCCTAGCACTCTATGGGATTTCAGGTAAAAGAGGATGTCTCTAAAAGTCAAGGGCTGAGGCCTAAGGCCTCATCTTTCTTACCTGAAAGACAAACATGTGTCTCCCTGCTGGCACAGGGCCTACCAGCACCGAGTCTAGGATCTGATCAAACTCCTCACTCTCAGCTGAGCCAACATAAATGATCTTCCACTCCAGGTCTGCAAGGACATAGGAGAGTTAATGAGTTGAAATAGCTCGACAGCAATAAGGCAGTGAAAGGGCCTTGTGTTAATTTTTTTTGAGTTGGAGTCTCGTTCTGTTACCCAGGCTGGAGTACAGTGATGTGATCTCAGCTCACTGCAAGGTCCACCTCCCAGGTCCAAGTGATTCTCATGCCTCAGCCTCCAGAGTAGCTGGGATTATCGGCACCCACTGCCATACCTGGCTAATTTTTTTTTGAGACAGAGTTTCACTCTTGTCACCCAGGCTGGAGTGCAATGGCATGATCTTGGCTCACTGCAATCTCTGTCTCCCAGGTTCAAGTAATTCTCCTATCTCAGCCTCCTGAGTAGCTGGAATTACAGGAGCCCACCACCAAGCCTGGTGAATTTTTTTATTTTTAGTAGAGACGGGGTTTTACCATGTTGGTCAGGCTGGTTTCGAACTCCTGACCTCAGGTGATCCACCCACCTCCGCCTTCCAAAGTGCTGGGATTACAGGTGTGAGCCACCACGTCCGGCCTTTTTTTTTTTTTTTGTATTTTTAGTAGAGATGGTGTTTTGCCACGTTAGCCAAGCTGGTGTCCAACTCCTGACTTCGAGTGATCTGCCCACCTCAGCCTCCCAAAGTGGTGGGATTAAGGTGTGAGCCACCACACCCAGCCTTTTTTATATTTTTAGTAGAGATGGGGTTTTGCCATGTTAGCCAGGCTGCTATCCAACTCCTCACCTCAAGTGATCTACCTGCCTCAGCCTTCCAAAGTCATGGGATTACAGGTGTCAGCCACTGCAGCTGGCCAGGTCTTATATTAATTTTATTTTTATTTATTTATTTTTTGAGACAGTCTCCCTCTTGCCCAGGCTGGAGTTCAGTGGCATGATCATGGCTCACTGTAGCCTCAACCTGCTGGGCTTGAGTGATCCTCCTGCCTCAGCCTCTCACCACGTTGGGATTACAGGTATGGGCCGCCGTACCCAGTCTTGTGGTAATTTTAGACAGATTCTTATTCAATCTGTGAGGCATTTAATGCCAGGCACTTCAGTCCTGAATGCAGAGATGGGCACAAAGCTCTACTTCCATTAGGGAATTCTGTTTTGTAGGCCTAGCTCTGACAAGTGACCTTGACTGTACCTCTGGGGAAACCTGGGCCTCTCATGGCCTGAGCGTGAACTATATGGCAGAGACTGAATTAAGAGCCATGTGACACAGCCATGCCGAGAAGGGAATGGCAGGGAGTTGGGCCATTTCAGGGCTCTGCCCACTGGGTGCTGGGATAGGAAGCAGCATCCTCTTTCACACACAGGGACTGGTGCCACTCAACGGAGTGGATCCCTCGACAACTGGGGCAGGGCGGCAGATTCCAATCCAGCAGGACAGCCAGCAGGCAGGAGGGGGAAGGTAAGGCTGCTCAGGGAGCCAGCCACTCTGGTCTTCCAGATCTGGAACCAAGTCATGCCTACTTAGAGATATTTGGGCAACTCAGTCAGCAAATGCAGCATCCAGGGTGTTCCTCCAAACCCTCCCCTGCTTTTTTTTGAGATGGAGGCTTCACTCTTGTTGCCCAGGCTGGAGTGCAGTGGTGGGATCTGGGCTCACTGCAACCTCTGCCTCCCGGGTTCAAGCAATTCTCCTGCCTCAGCCTCCTGAGAAGCTGGAATCATAGGCATCTGCCACCACAGTTGGCTAAATTTTTGTATTTTTAGTAGAGATGTAGTTTCACTATGTTGGCCAGGCTGGTCTTGAACTCCTGACCTCAGGTGATTCACCTGCCTTGGCCTCTCAAAGCGCTGGGATTACAGGCGTGAGCCACTGTGCCCAGCCTCAAACCCTAACTCTTGCACCCCATCCGGCTGCGGAGCTCCATCGCCTGAATATGCTCCATGGAGATGAAAGCAAAGTGCTTACAGAGGCCCTGCCCGTCAATCACAGGAAATTCCCAGTGACCACGGTCTCTTGCAGGAGGTCCAAGTGTATCAGGGGCAAGGTCATTTTAGTACAAGGAGGCTTGGCAAGAGGCTTGAAGCCTATTTTTGGCTCTTTAGAAATTACACAACCCTTCAGCTCTAGCAGCTGGGGGGAAGTTTCACAAGCTGTGATTTTCACAGGAAGCAAACTCTCTCAGAAGCTGCCCTGTTCCTTGGTCTACTGTCCCACAAGTGCATCCAACTTTGGAAGTACACTGCTGCCGGTTCATGACTATAAAGATTTGTTACCTGAGCCCCAAGCCTGTCTCTGATGCTTTGGCTGCCTGTCCCTTTGTGGTTTCACTCAGGAACCTGATAGCAGGTCTGTAGGATACAGGCGACCACTGAACTCACTGGGGGTTGGTCATACTAGCCTCTTATTATTATTTTGAGATGGAGTCTTGCTCTGTCACCCAGGCTGTAGTGTTGTGGCGTGATCTCGGCTCACTGAAACCTCTGCCTCCTGGTGGTTCAAGCAATTCTTCTGCCTCAGCTTCCCAAGTATTGTAATTGTAGTACAGAAGGGGTTTCATCATATTGGTCAGGATGGTCTCGAACTCCTGGCCTTGTAATCCACCTGCCTTGGCCTCCCAAAGTGCTGGGATTACAGGTGTGAGCCACCACGCCCAGCCTTAGCCTCTCATTATTTGCAGGGAGGAAATTAACATTTTTCCGCCTAGAGATGGGGTCTTGGTCTGTCACACAGGCCGGAGTGCAGTGGCATAATCATAGCTCACTACAGCCACAAACTCCTGCATTCAAGCGATTCTCCTACCTTAACCTCCCAAGTAGCTGGGATCACAGGCTCGTGCCACACGCATAGGTAATTTTTACTTTATTTATTTATTTTTTTGAGACAGAGTCTTGCTATGTTGCCCAGACTGGTGTGCAATGGCACGCTCTTGGCTCACTGCAACCTCTGCCTCCCAGGTTCAAGCAATTCTCCTGCATCAGCCTCCCAAGTAGCTGGGATTATAGGTTTGTGCCACCACGCCAGGCTAACTTTTGTATTTTTTTTTTCTCTTCTCTCTTTTTAGTGATCTGGTCTCTGAATATCAGTATAATTTTTGTATTTTTAAGTAGAGATGGGGTTTCACCAGGTTGGTCAGGCTGGTCGCGAACCCCTGACCTCATGATCTGCCTGCCTCAGTCTCCCAAAGTGTTGGGATTACAGGTGTGAGCCACTGCGCCTGGCTAATTTTTATATATATTTTTTAGAGATGGGGTCTTTCTTTGTTGCCCAGCTTGGTCTCAAGCAATCCTCCTGCCTTGGCTTCCCAAAATGCTGGGATTTGTCTGAGCCACCATGCCCAGCCTGTTGATTTATTTTTGTTACAAGCAGTGACACAACTAGAATCAAGTTAGGGGAAGACAGAAAAACAAGCCAGCCCTGCTCTTTCCTTTCCAAAGCAGTTGTGTGGGTTTGGTATATTTCCTCTAGCCCTTTCCTCTCATAGCCAGTAGAGTCCCATATGGGTACATTTAATTCATATGCTGGGAGGGCAAACTAAAGGGTCTAAAGTGTACCTACGAGCACCTGATGTTGTCCAGCTGAGGTCAATACTAATTGGCAAAACCTAAACAAAGAGCATGTGGAAACTGACTGAAAGAAATAGGCCCGTGCAATATGGTGAGAGACTTCAACTCTACTAAAACTCAACAAAGTTGATTGGGAGCAGTGGCTCATGCCCGTAATCCCAGCGCTTTGGGAGACCGAAGAGGGCAGATTGCAAGGTGAAGAGATCAAAACCAGCCTGGCCGATATGGTGAAAATCCCGTCTCTACTAAAAATACAAAAATTAGCTGGGCGTGGTGGCGTGCACCTGTAGTCCCAGCTACTAGGGAGGCTGAGGCGGGAGAACTGCTTGAACCCAGGAGGCGGAGGTTGCAGTGAGCCAAGATTACACCACTGCACTCCAGCCTGGTGACAGAGCAAGACTCTGTCTCAGAAACAAACAAACAAACAAACAAACAAACAAAAAAATTAGCTGGGTGTGGTAGTGCACGCCTGTGGTCCCATGTATTCGGGAGGCTGAGGTTGGAGGATTGCTTGAGCCTAGGAGTTCAAGGCCGCAGTGAATCACGATCGAGCCACTGCACCCCAGCCTGGGCGACAGAAACCCTATCTCAAAGGAAAAAAAAGAAAAAGAAAAAATGTACTGTGTTGACTGTTAGGTACACAGGCTAAAATGGCTCTTTCAACCACAGTCAGAAAGAAACTGGAGAATTAACTGAGGGCTGTAGAGAAATACCAACTCAAGAATTATAGAAGCTGGTTGGGTGTGGTGACTCATGCCTGTAATCCTAGCACTTTGGGAGGCTGAGGCAGGCAGATTGCCTGAGCTCAGGAGTTCGAGATCAACCTGAGCAACATGGTGAAACCCAGCTCTACTAAAAATACAAAAAATTAGCTGGGTGTGCACCTGTAATTGCAGCTACTCAAGAGGTTGAGGCATAAGACTTTCTTGAACCCAGGAGGCGGCAGAGATTGCAGTGAGCAGAGATCATGCCACTGCACACGAGGCTGGGCAACAGAGTGAGACTCTGTCCCCAAAAAATAAATGAAAGAAAGAGAGACAGAAAAAGAAAGAAAAAGAAGAAAGAAAGACAGAGAGAAAGAAAGAAAGAAAGAAAGAAGGAAAGAAGGAAAGAAAGAAAGAGAAAGAAAAGAAGAGAAAAAAGAAGTGTTATAGCTTTTTATGTATTACATGCTCATGGCTGTAATCCTAGCACTTTGGGAGGATGAGGCAGGCAGATGGATTGCCTGAGATCAGGAGTTCGAGACCAGCCTAGGGAACACGATGAAACCCTGTCTCTACAAAAATACAAAATATTAGCTGGTCATGGCAGCATGCATCTGTAGTCCCAGCTACTTGGGAGGCTGGGGCAGGAGAATTGCTTGAACTCAGCAGGTGGAGGTTACAGTGAGTTGAGATCACGCCACTGCACTCCAGCCCAGGTGACAGAGTGAGACTCTGTCTAAAAA